TTTTTCTTCCTTTTCTTCTTATCATGATAGTTTTCTTTCATTATCTTCGTTGGCATCAGTCTTCTTCCTCCTCTTCCTCCTATCTCCTCTTTCGCCTCGTCGTTGTCTTCCACATCCTCCTTCGTTGTAGTCGTCAAAGTCGTCCTCCTTCCTGGTCCGTGTCCTCTACTTTCCTCTCTTCCCTTCTTCCTCTCGTCGTCGTCGTCCTCCTCCTCCTCTTCCTCCTTCTCTTCTCTTCTCTTCCTCCTGCTCCTTTTACTCCTCCTCTTGCTTGCTGCTGCTTCCTCTTGCTGCCTGCTGCTGCTTCTCTCCTCCTCCTCCTCTTCCTCCTCCTCCTCCTTCCTCCTCCTCCTCTTCTTCTTCTTCTTCTTCTTCTTCTTCTTCTTCTTCTTCTTCTTCTTCTTCTTCTCTTCTTCTTCTTCTTCTTCTTCTTCTTCTTTCTTCTTCTTCTTCTTCTTCTTCTTTCTTCTTCTTCTTCTTCTTCCTCTTCCTCTTTCCCTCCGCCTGCCAGCGGAGCCCCGCCAGCTCCCTGAACGGTCGTGTCACCCGCGCCCAAACAGCCGTCGCCTGGCCCTCCCTCCCCGCCCGTGAATATGACGAGGGTCGAGGCTCCGTGGGGCAAAAAGCGGCTCTTCTCGTTATGGCGCGAGGGGCGGCAGGTGGGAAGGCAGGACGGCTTGCAACTCGCACCTTCAGTGTGCTTGAAAACACGGCAAACAGGAGAGGAAGGGAAGGGACACTCCCCCAAGCCATTTTTTTTTCTTTCTTTCTTTCTTTCTCTCTCTCTCTCTCTCTCTCTATATATATATATGTGTGGTGTGTGTGTGTGTGTGTGTGTGTGTGTGTGTGTGTGTGTGTGTGTGTGTGTGTGGTGTGTGTGTGTGTGTGTGTGTGTGTGTGTGTGTGTGCGGGCGCGCACGTGTGTGTAATGTGGGCTATGCGTGTGTGTTAATGTGTGGCATGCGTGTGTGTAATGTATATTGCATGGCGTAATGTGTATAGGTGTGTGGTGCGCGCGTCGTGTGCGCGTGTCCTTCCACCTATCATTTTCTTCTCTTCACCACTTTTCTCTCCCCTCCATGGGTTCTCTCGCCTCCTTCATCCCCTTTCTCTCCCTTTATGTCCTCTACGGAGGGCCTGCCTCCCTCCCCTCTCCCTCTCTTCCGTCTCCCCTCCGTTGCTCTGCTCCTCCGCCCCCCCCCTCCGCCTCCCATCTCCCCTCACTCTCTCGCCTCCGCCTCGCATAAACATAGACAGCTAAATTGAAAAGCTGCATTGAAATGTTGACATTAGTAAGGGGGACTTTCTTACTGTGCTGCGGTTGTGCACACACTCGTTGCAGGGAAGCCGCGAGGAAGAGGGAGTGGAGACGGGGAGAGAAGGAGGAGAGAGGAAGAATGGAAAGGAGGAAGAGGAGTCCAAAGGCGAGTAGAGAAGAGGGAAAGGAAGGGAAAATATATAAGGAGACTAATTAAAACGTAATGGCAGGCGAGTAGGAAGAAGACGCTGGGAACGAATAGCTGTGCCGGGTTAATGAACACCTTCCTCTCTTTGTTTCGTTCTTTCTTTCTTTCCGACGCGAAGACAAGCCGGTCCAGCCGCAGAATCCTTCCATCCGCAACACCGAGCGACTTCTCTCCCCGAACTTGGCCCCTCTGCGGGACTTCCTGGGGGCCGTCGGCGCTCAAGTTTGGTTAGGTGAAGTTAGGGCCGAAAAGACCCCTTTGAGGACGCTGCCAAGACGGCCGCGCGCTCCCCGACGTCTTGCCAGAGTCTGTGGGAAAGCGCCGCGAGGAATCTTTCGTCGGCGAGTCCTTCACGCTTCCTTTCCTCGAGTCCACTTCACTTCACTTCACTTCACTCTACTCCTCTCCTCTCCTCCTTCCTGGTCCGTCTCTTCTTTCCTCTCCTCTCCTCTCTTTTCCTTTATAGTTCGTGTCTTTCCACTCTCCTTCTACCTTTTCCTCCTTCCTAGTTCGTCTCTTTCTCCACACCTCTCCTGTACTCTACTCTACTCTTTCTACTCTACTCTACTCTACTCTACTCTACTCTACTCTACTCTACTCTACTCTACTCTCTCTCCTTCCCACTCCGCCTCTCGTCGCCCCTCTCCCTCCCTCTCCCCCTCCCCCAGACACAGAGCGATAACTGTGACGACACCGATAATAAAAGGGAACCAATAACTTGATCCCAAACTCATTTGCATATCTACACAAGCTTCCCACTTGCAAGCGAATGGCCTGATTACAAAGATGCATTGCAATGTTGCACACCCCCTCCCCTCCCTCCCTTCCCTCCCTTCCCCTCCCTCACCCTTACGCAGCGTACTCACGCTCCTTTCCTCACTCTTTCTCAACCTTCGCCCTTCCATTCGTCTCCCTCGCCCATCCCTCCTTCCCTCTCCCTCATTCAACTTCAGGCATCTTTCCCTCTATTTCTCTCTTTCTCTCTCTCTTCTCCCTCTCTTTTCTCTCTTATCTCTTTTCTTCTCTCTTCTTCTCTCTCCCTCCTTCCATTCATCTCACTCACTCACCCCTCTCTCCCTTTCCCTTTCTCAACTGCCGCCCTTTGCCCACCTCTCCCTCACTCACCTTTCCCTTCCTTTACTCAACTGACTCAAATTACTCATCTCCGCCCCCCCTTTTTGAATGATTCATGTGCGCGTCTTCGTCACGGTCGAGCGAGCAGACGAAAGAAGTGGGGCAATGAAGTGGAGTGAAGTGAGTGAGTGAGTGAGTGAGTGAGTGAGTGAGTGATGCTGGGTGAGTTGAGTGAGTGAGTGAGTGAGTGACCCTCTGAGTGAGTTCTGAGTGAAAGTGAGTGACCAGTGGGTGGTGGGTACGCGTGGGTGGTGGGTGAGTGAGTGAGAGAGTGGGTGGATTAAAATCACCTCTTTCTCAAGTACAGGTGACGACCGCGTCTTCCTATCTCGCAATACTAATGAACCTTTAAAAAAAAATTCCAGGATCCGGTTTATGATCCGAACCACCCACCAAAATCAGTGGCACCTAAGTTAAGCTGAGACGCACCTCTGGTAAGAATTTCATTTAAAAAATATGTTCACAACTTTTTGATTTATCCCGCTAACAAACTAACCACCGCCAACAAAAACATAACCTTTTTGGCAGGGGTAATAATTTAGGGTCTGTTGTGATTTAGTCAAATTGTGGCGTGTCTGTTTATTATGCTACTGAACTATCCCCTGTGTAAGAGGAATGGCCGGGGTCGCCATCCACTGGTGTGTGTGTGTGTTGTGTGTGTGTGTGTTGTGTGTGTGTGTGTGTGTGTGTGTGTGTGTGTGTGTGTGTGTGTGTGTGTTGTGTGTGTGTGTGTGTGTGTGTGTGTGTGTGTGTGTGTGCGTGTGTGCGTGTGCGTGTGTGTGCGTGTACGTGTGCGAAAACGTGCGTACCAGTGTACATGAGCATTCAAGTAAGTGTGCACATGCTCCAAGAAAGCACGCAAGCACCAAGCCTCCCCTGGCCACCGCGTCCTCCTCCTCAATTCATCTCGGGAGTCCCTGTCACTCGTAACTCAAGAAGGGGTGCAGCGTCGGGGCGGCGCGTAAGTGCGGGTGTCAACGACCAAGATTTGAACTCGCGCAGGGCTCCCGGCCAGCCCAGCCCGCCCGACACCTGGCCCTCCATGCCGATGGGGCGCTGTCGCTGAGGGGACAGGGACAGCCCCCGCCGGCTCACCACTATTTGCACGAAGGTAGTTCAGTCATTTTCTTCCTGCTTTATTCGTTCTTATATATATTCTCCCTCTCGCCTCCCACCCATCCTGCTTCTCGCTCCCACGCCAGCCTTCGGGTTCAAATTCTACCTCCCAGCGAGTGCATACCCCGCCGCGAGACGGCTTGGGCGGCCGAAAGGGTGGGCGGGCGGCAGTAGTCTGGCCTGCAGCCGGCGATGTGGGCGGAGAAGCCCCGGGCCTATTGACTCACCAAACACACTTCAGGGCACCGGCCGAAGCAAGGGCAGGAGGGAGGGCGAGGAGGAGGGGGAGGGAAAGGGAGGAGGAGGGAGGAAAGGGGAGGAGGGGGAGGGAGGGAGGAAAGGGAGGAGGAGGAGGAGGGAGGAGGAGGAGGAGGGAGGAAGGAGGAGGAAGGAGAAGGAGGAAGAGGAAGGGGAGGGGGAGGGAAGGGGAGGAGGAGGGGAAGGGGGGGCGGGGGAAGAGGTGCAGTGGCCTCAAGCAAAGGAGAGAAGAAGGAAGGGGAGGCGAATGAAAGATGAAAAGGGGAAAGGAGGAAGACTGGAGGTCAAAAATGTCAACACGGTGAAGCTGATAAGGAGGTTAAGCCACGAAATTGGATAGGAGAGAAGAGGAGAGAGAGAGAGAGAGAGAGAGAGAGAGAGAGAGAGAGAGAGAGAGAAGAGAGAGAAGAGAGAGAGAGAAGAGAGAGAGAGAGAGAGAGAGAGGAGAGAGAGAAGAGAAGAGGGGAAGAAGAGGAGAGAAAGGAAGGGAAGTGAAGGAAAGAGGTGAGGCAAGGAAGGAAGATATATGGAGGCTTGAAAACAAAAGAAGTGGGGGGGACAGGGGCAAGGAGTGAGAGAAAAGAAAGAAATAATGGGGTTTTGGCTACACATAGCTGTGTACGGATAATGACATGTACCTATAATTAGCGTTAATGAAGAGTATCTGATGAGGTGGCAAGAATTGTACATGTATGTAGAGAAATACAAGAAAAATAAAGATAAAATGAATACAAGAACAAGACCAAAAATAGAAACAATAAAAGCTGTCCAAACAAAAAAAAATCAAACGTGGTTGAGAAAATCAAAACGTAAAAGCAAGCAATATAACCGAAAAAATGTATATAGAAGAGTTACAAAAGACGTTAAAACAAAAACAGTAACATAAACAAAAAAAAAAAACGAGAAGAAAAAAACAAACAAGAGCAACAAAATAGAAAATCGAAGGAGGTGAGAACATTCCGATACACGAGCGCTGTATTTCACCGTATTTACAGACACACTTACCCGGAGCCATTATACAGGGACATGACGTCGAAAGTATGGCATAACGGCGATTTACAAACTCACTCCCACAAACCACGCCATAAAGTTCCGATACAAATGACATGTTAAATCCGCCCCAGAGTCAATAATCACGACGAGAGAGAGAGAAAATGGAATCGCCAATGTATCGTGTCTATATTTGGCTTCGCGCGCAGGAAACGCCAGGCAATGGGCAAGGCTAATGACAAGAGAGAAGCGTCAGAGGAAGAGAGGAGGGGAAGGAGGGGAGAAAGAAGGAGAGGAGGAGAGAGAGAGAGGAAGGAAGGAAAGAGGAGAAGAGAAGGAGGAGGAAGGGAAGGAGGAGAAAGGAGAGGGAGAAAAAGGAGGAAGGAGGAAAAGAGGAGAAAGAAGGAGAGGAAGGAGAAAGGAGGAGGAGGAGAAAGGAAGAGAGGGAGGAAAGAGAGGAAGGGAAGGAGAGGAGAAAGGAGGAGGAGGGGAAAGAAGCAGAGGTAGGAGGAAGGGGGGGAGAAAGGAGGAGAGAGAGGAAGGGAAGGATGGAATAAAGGAGAGGAAAGAAAGAGAGGCAGGAAGGAGAGAAGAAGGGAAGGACGGGAGATAGTAGAAGATGGGAGCTAGAGGATGGAAAGTAAGAGAGCGAGAGCGTGAGAGAGATAGGGAAAATAGTAGGAGAGAAAGAGGAAAAAGAGAAAGAGGGGAAGATAGGCAAAAGTGGGAGAGAAAAGTAAAGATGGGAAGAGGCAGCACGAAAAGGGAAAAAGTAGGATGAAGGAGACGAGGAGAGGGAAAGAGAGAGATGGAGAAAGGAGAGGAAAGCAGAGGACCAAAAAGGGAAGGAGAAAGAGAGGGAAGAGGAAAAGAAGGAGAAAAATGGGAGGAAGAGAGGGAAGGGAAGGGGAAAAGAAGGAGAAAGAAATGGAAGCGAAATAACACGGGACTGGGAACGAATGAAAAGGCAAGTGGAAAGAGAGAGGATAGTAAAGGATGAAGCAAGAATAGAGATGGACAAAACTAGTGATTTACTGAATACACAGACACAAATATGGAAAAGGGGAGGAATATGGAACATACAAAAGCCTTCCAATAGAGAAGATAGAGAAATAAAAAAAAATAAAGAACAGAAGAAAGCGAGAACAGAAACACGAACGAGACATAAGACGGCTAAGAAAACGGAGACCAACAGAAGGAGAAAGCGATGGAAGGCGAAGCGTGGGCGGGCGGGCGGGCGGGCGTATCCTCCCGGGCGTCAGAGGTCATGGCCGCGAACGACTCCACATTCCCCTTGTGGATTTGCGAAATTCGTGTGCGGTATCCTGTCGATGGAATACCGCATGCACCGCACGCACGCATCGGCGGGTCTGTGGGCTCCCCGGGGGGTCAGAACCTACCCCTATCCCTATCCCTTGCTCATTAGGGTTAGCCCCCTCCCCTCCCCTCCGTCCCTGACCACATCCCCGCGCGCATCCCTGCTTCGTACCCTTAAGATTCAACCCCATCCTCCTCAAAATTCCTTAACTTCAGCCTCCCACACCCCCATCCTCTCCTCCCTCAGGATCAACCTCCCACTTCCCTATCCTCCCCCCTTCAGGATCAACCTCCCCCCCATCCCCCCCTCAAAATAGACTTCCTACACCCCATCCTTCACAATTCAGAACCAACCTCCCACTTCCCTATCCTCCCCCTACCCCTCAGGATCAACTTCCTACACCCCATCCCTCCCTCCCCCCTCAGAATCAACCTCCCCCACCCCCCCTCAGAATCAACCTCCCACTCCCCCCTCCCTCAGGATTATCCCCTTCTCCCTTAGGGTCAGCGCCCCAGCGAGCCAGAATCACGTGACCAAGGGGCTCTCACCCTTTGACCTACGGCACCGACCCTCGTTGATGGGAAAAGACCTTAATCTTTTTTTTTTTTTTCTTATTCCAATTATCTCCCGTTTTTCGGGACATTTCTCTTGGATGGAAAAAAACTGTAAGTTTTTTTTTTGTTTTTTTATTCCTTATTCCAATTCTATCCCAGTTTTTTCTTCTCGTCATATTTCTCTTGGATGGGAAAAGACCTAAAAATATTTTTTTCTTCCTTATTCCAATTCTCTCCCTTTTTTTTTCTTTTTCTTTTTTCTCTCGGGATATTTCTCTTGTGTGTGAAAAGACCTAAAAATATTTGTTTTATTCCTTATTCCAATTCTCTCCCTCTTTTATTTTCTTTTTTTTTCTCGGGATATTTCTCTTGGATGGGAAAAGACCTAAAAAAAATTTTTTATTCCTTATTCCAATTCTCTCCCTATTTTTTCTTTTCTTTTTTTCTTTCTCGGGATATTTCTCTTAGATGGGAAAAGACCTAAAAATATTTTTTTATTCCTTATTCCAATTCTCTCTCCCTTTTTTTCTTTTTTTTTCTCGGGATATTTCTCTTGGATGGGAAAAAAACTAAAAATATTTTTTTTCTTCTTCCTTATTCCAATTCTCTCCCTATTTTTTCTTTTCTTTTTTTCTCCGGATATTTCTCTTGACATTAGCCCCGAGGCCAGTAGGATATTGGGATGAATAAATCATTTCCATCTAACGCACGACCTCGCTTTGTGCCCGCCCTCGTTCACGTCGTTGTGCAGAGACGCTGTTCATCACCGATGCGCGTTTGTTCAAGCCTTCATTTACCTGCGTTCGGATTTTGAAGTTGTGCTACGAGGGGCAAATAGACTCCGGATGGGAAGAGAGAGGAGGGGAAAAAAAGACCGAAACAACAACAAAAAAATGCGAGTTCATTTGAATTCCCCGAGCTCGAATCCGGGTTCACGGTCGGTTCTTTCATTATTTTACAAAATAAGGATCCCGGACTCGGTCTTCTGATTTTCTTCTCCCTTCCCTTTCTTCCTGTGTTTATTGTCTTTTCTCCTCTACTCGTGTTATAATTCTCTAATCTCTTCTTTCTTCCTTCTCCATTCTCTTCTTCCTTCCCCTCCCTATGCCCTTTTCTTCCGCTTTCTATTTTTCTTTTTTTTAGTCTTCCTCCTCTTCTTCCTTCCTGTCCACCTCCTTCATCATCATCTCTTCCTCCCCCTCCATCTCCCCGAATTTCCCTGCTTCCCTCTCTCTCATTTCTCCCCGCCATCTCTCTCTCTCTCTCTCATCTCTCTCTCACCCCTCTCTCTCTCTCTCTCTCTCTCTCTCTCTCTCTCTCTCTCTCTCACCTCTCTCTCTCACCTTCTCTCTCACCTCTCTCTCTCACCTCTCTCTCTCACCTCTCTCTCTCACCCCTCTCTCTCACCCCTCTCTCTCACTCTCTCTCTCTCAGTCCTTCCTATTACATTTCTACTCACTTTTTCTCCCCCTCCCTCTATCCTCTACGCATTCCTATCTCCTTTTGAACCCGCAGACAGCACCTCCTTCCCTCTCATCCTTCTCCTATTCCTCCCTCCCTCCTATCCACTCTCCCTTCCTCTCCCACGCCATTCCTGAACCCCAACACTCCATTCCCCTCGCCCCTGTCCTCCTCCTGACGACCAAGAGGGCTTCCTTCCGCCTCCACCCTCCTCCCCTCATCCCTCCTCCACCCCAACTCACCCACTCTCCCTCCCTCCTCCTCCTCCTTCTCCTTCCTCCGTTCTTCTTTTCTCTCCCATTATTCTACCCACCCACCCATTCTCCCTTCCTTCTTCCTCCCTCCATCCCACCCACCCACTCTCCCTCCCAACCACCCAACCTCCCCCCCACCTTCCCTTCTTTCTTCCCTCCCTCCCTCCCTCCTAACCACCCATCCACCTTCCCTACTCCCTCCCTCCCTCCCACCCCCCACCCCCCACCTACCCCCCACCCCCCCCCATCCTCCCACCCACCCACCCCCTCCCATAGACGACAAGAACGACCCGCCTAAACAAGAAAATAATGTCGCAAATACGAGACGGGGCGAGCGAAGCCGGGCCCCGAGTCGTAAAAGCCATCATAAAGGGGCGTGGCCGTCGTGGCTCATACACAGCGCCATAATACTGAAGGCAGTAAAGTCGGGATAACGCGGCTGGATTTACTTGTGTATATTTCCCCCCCTCTTATTGCTGTCGTTATTGTTGTTGATGTTAATGCTGTTGTTGTCATTATTATTACTGATATTAATGTTGCTGCTGTTGACATTACTGTTATTGTTGTTATCATTATTGTTTTTGATATTTATGTTCTTGTTATGATTATTATTGCTATTATCATTATCACCTTATCATGAATGTTATCATCATCATTTTCATGATCCTCATGAATTACCATTCCCGTCTTTGTACCAATCATCATAATTACCAATATTCGTCTGCACAATCATTATCATCGATATCACAATTATCACCACCACCATCACAGCCTCTATACCTTACCATCAGCCTCTTAACCTCACAATCAGCCTCTTAACCTCCTCATCAGCCTCTTTAACTCACCATCAGCCTCTTTATCTCATCAGCCTCTTAACCTCACAATCAGCCTCTTAACCTCCTCATCAGCCTCTTTAACTCACCATCCGCCTCTTTACCTCACAATCAGCCCCTTTAACTCACCATCAGCCTCTTTACCTCACCATCCGCCTCTTTACCTCACAATCAGCCCCTTTAACTCACCATCAGCCTCTTTAACTCACAATCAGCCCCCTTACCTCACAACCAGCCTCCTAATCTCATCAGCCCCTTTACCTCACCATCAGCCCCTTTAACTCACCATCAGCCTCTTAACCTCGCCATCAGCCCCTTTAACTCACCATCAGCCCATTTAACTCACCATCAGCCCCTTTAACTCACCATTAGCCTCTTAACCTCGCCATCAGCCCCTTTAACTCACCATCAGCCCCTTTAACTCACCATCAGCCCCTTTAACTCACCATCAGCCTCTTAACCTCGCCATCAGCCTCCTACCTATCAACCTTTACCTCAGCCCTCAGCCCCTTCAGCCCCTTTAACTCACCATCAGCCCCTTTAACTCACCATCAGCCCCTTAACTCCATCAGCCCTTTAACTCACCATTAGCCTCTTAACCTCGCCATCAGCCCCTTTAACTCACCATCAGCCCCTTTAACTCACCATTAGCTTCTTAACCACACCATCAGCCCCTTTACCTCACCATCAGCCCAACTCACCATCAGCCCCTTTACCTCACCATCAGCCCCTTTACCTCACCATCAGCCCCTTTAACTCACCATTAGCCTCTTAACCACACCATCAGCCCCTTTAACTCACCATCAGCCCCTTTAACTCACAATCAGCCTCTTAACCTCACCATCAGCCCCCTTACCTCACCATCAGCCTCTGAACCTCACCATCAGCCCCCTTACCTCACAATCAGCCTCTTAACCTCACCATCAGCCTCTGAACCTCACCATCAGCCCCCTTACCTCACAATCAGCCTCTTAACCTCACCATCAGCCTCTGAACCTCACCATCAGCCCCCTTACCTCACCATCAGCCCCTTTAACTCACAATCAGCCTCTGAACCTCACCATCAGCATCCTTACCTCACAATCAGCCTCTTAACCTCGCCATCAGCCCCTTTAACTCGCCATCAGCCCCCTTACCTCACAATCAGCCTCTTAACCTCGCCATCAGCCCCTTTAACTCACCATCAGCCTCTTAACCTCACAATCAGCCTCTTTACCTTACCGTTAGCCTCTTAACCTCGCCATCAGCCTCTTAACCTCGCCATCAGCCCCTTTAACTCACCATCAGCCTCTTTACCTCGCCATCAACCTCTTTACCTCACAATCAGCCTCTTAACCTCACAATCAGCCTCTTTAACTCACCATCAGCCTATTAACCTCGCCATCAGCCTCTTTACCTCCTCATCAGCCTCTTAACCTCGCCATCAGCCCCTTTAACTCACCATCAGCCTCTTTATAGCCTCTTAACCTTTTACTCACCATCAGCCTCTTTATTTCCTCATCAGCTCTTAAACCTCGCCATCAGCCCCTTTAACCCATCAGCCTCTTTAATTCTTAACCTCACAATCAGCCTCTTTAACTCACAATCAGCCTCTTAACCTCGCCATCAGCCCCTTTAACTCACCATCAGCCTCTTAACCTCACAATCAGCCTCTTTAACTCACAACCAGCCTCCTAACCTCCTCATCAGCCCCCTTACCTCACCATCAGCCCCTTTAACTCACCATCAGCCTCTTAACCTCGCCATCAGCCCCTTTAACTCGCCATCAGCCCCCTTACCTCACAATCAGCCTCTTAACCACACCATCAGCCCCTTTAACTCACCATGAGCCCCTTTACCCCCTCATCAGCCTCTTTATCTCCTCATCAGCCTCTTAACCTCGCCATCAGCCCCTTTAACTCACCACCAGCTTCTTTATCTCCCCCACACCATCCACACTCGCCCTCGCACATCTTACCGACGACCAGCCCATCCTCACGCCAGTCGCGTCCGATCGTCCCTTCACGGCCAAGCGGCGAGAGCCAATGCGCTTGCAATAAAATCAATGTCAGGGAAATATATAAATCAAAATAAATATAAATATAAATAAAATCAAAATCAATGAAAGTCAATGCGCTTGCAACTGCAAAGTCCGGTCGCCTCTAAGTTTGTGTTTTTTCGTTTTAAAGAAACTTTCACCGACATTTTCGGCTTTTATCATCATTATCATGACTTGTTTTATCACCATAATCTTTATCGTAACTACCGTCATCACTGCTATTCACATGAGCGTTATCCTTTTTATTACTGTTTCTTCCGCTCGCCCCTTTCATTCCCCTCTATTCTCTTCTCTCTCTCTCTCTTTCATTTTTCCTTCTTTCTCACGTACAGAAATGCATTTGCGTAGCAGGATGGATACGAATCGCAGAAAGGATATAAATCTCCCCCCCCTCCACGCCTTGGCAAGAGGAAGAGAAAGAATAGATGGAGGGAGGAAAGGAATCAGTATCAGAACTTTCTTTCACACAGAATGGTTATTCTTTACAGTAATTCTATATGGAGTAACACACACATACACACACACACACTTACAGCACATTAAATTTCACTATAAAATATCAAGGATAGATAATTATTGCTAAACAAGACAGTAAGAATTAAAGACAATTAACAGCAAAAATCATATTTTCAAATAGAACTAGAAAATGACACAAAACGGCAAACAGAACCTGAAAACGAAATAAAACTGCAAGAAATACCAACATGAAAATCGCAACCTTCTGTATGCTCAACGGATTAAAATAGATATCTGCACGACAGACATCAAAACAATATATAAAAGACGTTTTTACTCGTACCAACAGTGGATATAGACCTGTCAGTCAACCTCGGTATGTGGACTGGCAATGGTTAGAATATGTCGCATACTGGCCACCTGTTCAAACTGACAGTCTAAGAAATAGCTTTAGAGTTTCTTTTTGAAGGAAGACACTGATTAAACGTCCTTATTATAAGTTGGGGGATTATTCCATAGTTTAGGTCCGGCGATATAAAGCGATCTGGATCCTGTACAGTTGTTTGGCCTAGAAGGAGGTAGGGAGGAAGGGGTGAAGAGGCCGGGAGAAGAATAAGAGGGAAGAAGAGTAGGAAGAGGGAGAGGAATGGGAGGAGAGTCAATGAGGAGATAGATAGTAGATAGATATAAGATACATAGATAGACAGATACATAGAAGAGAGAGAGAGAGAGAGAGAGAGAGAGAGAGAGAGAGAGAGAGAGAGAGAGAGAGAGAGAGAGAGAGAGAGAGAGAGAGAGAGAGAGAGAGAGAGAGAGAGAAGAACGAGAGAGGAGAGAGAGAGAGAGAGAGAGAGAGAGAGAGAGAAAGAGAAAGAGAAAGAAAATAAGAGAAAGAGAGAGAGAAAGAGAAAGAGAAAGAGGAGAAAGAGAGAGAAAGAGAAAGAGAGAAAGAGAAAGAGAGAGACAGAGTGAGAGACAGCCGAGACAACAGAGAAAATAAAGAGAGAAATAGGAGAAAAAATAACGAAGAGAAAGAAACATACAAACGACAAACCAAAAAAAGAAGTATGTGCTAAGCAGAATCCGAGCAAGAGTGACATCAAT